CCCCCCCCCCCCCAGAAGGCTGAGCACTGGCCCCAGAGCCTCCTGCCACACCATGCCAGCAACGGACTTGGGGTCAGAGGGCATAGACCTCTGTCCAGCAGATTCTGTCTGCTTCTTCCCAGGTGACCACATGCTGTGTGGCCTGGTGTCCACTCAAGGCCTAGGCCGTATCTGGCTCTGCCCCGGGCCCCAGCAGGGGGGGGAAAGGTTTCCTCTGATTCCGCTCATGTGGACCTGTCTCAGAGGTTAGGGAGGGGGCAGGACTGAGTCTCTAGCTCCGCCCCCTTTCTTCACTGAGACCTGCCTCCTGTGGGGGAGGGCTCTGGGCTGGGAGCTGTGCCTCCTGGGTACCACTGAGGTACACGGTCACACAGGACCCGCCTTGGGGGAGCTCGGGCTCTGCTCCTGGCCTGCTGCTCTGTGGTGGGTGCAATGACTGCCACCGCGCAGGCGTGATGTGGGCTCTTTCGTGTCGCCCTTGCAGGTGGAAGGCTACGCGGTGGGCTGCGAGTGCTCCCCGGACGGAGACCTGCTGGTGACAGGCAGCGCGGACGGCCGGGTCCTGCTCTACTGCTTCCGCACGGCCAGCCGGGCGCGCACGCTGCACGGGCACACGCAGGCCTGTGTGGGCACCACCTTCCACCCCGTGCTGCCTTCCGTCCTCGCCACCTGCTCCTGGGAGGGTGACATCAAGATCTGGCACTGAGCCTTCCAGCGCAGCGCCCCTGGACAGACATTGCCGCCCCGGCTCCCTGGGGTGGGGGGGACTAAATGCCGAGGCTGGCGCTCCACCCCGGGGTCCTCCGTTTCCTCTGAAACCGGGCCAGCAGCCTTTTGTCTCGGTGGTGAGGCTGGGAAGTGAGCGCCTGGCACCCTGCTCGTGGCGCTCAGTAAATACGCGCGTTTCGCTGTTTTGTAGGTGACTTCAGCGATAAATGTGTGTTGGCAGTTCCTCTCGCCGCCCCACTCGCACCCACTGGAGCTCGAAATGAGAAGCTGGGATCTGGAGAGGGGGCAGCCCCGCTCTGTGGGTCCTGAAAAGGGGGCCCAGGATCTCAGGTCTGTCCTCGGGAACTCGGCAGAGCATGGCCGTCCACCCGTCCCACAGGGCCTCACCTGGCCCAGTCTACCCAGGCCCAGGCCCCCTTCCTCCCCACGGAGCACGCCAGCTGGTCCCCGGGCCTGCCCCAGCCCTGCTAAGCGTGCACGCTGCCCACGCCAGGGCGTCTGCCGGGGGGGCGGAGTGACGTGGAGAAGTGCAGGGCCCTTGCGGAACTTCGAGGAGTCAGGCTGGGAAGACCCAGCTGCTGGGATCTGCGGAGCTGCTGAGCACTAAACCCCACCAGGACTCTTATTGAGGGGCTGCCCCAAGAGCCCAAGGATCCACCCCCGGGTCAGGGGGACTGCAGATGCCACGGCTCAGGGCAGAGGGGTCCCTGCAGCCTTGGAAGGCTTCCTGGAGGAGGCAGCTGGTGAGCTGGTGAGGAGGGTGTCCCCAGCAGGGGCGTCAGTGAGGAAACACGGAGGACCTAAGGAGGAGGCCATGGGCGGGTGGGGGAGCTGCAGGAATGGTGGGTAACAGCCTCTCCCTGAGCCTGGCCCCAGGCCCAGCCTGCTGTCAGGAGCCGTCCTCGCGTCCCTTTCTTTTTCAGGCTGGTCCCCTTGAACCAACCAGAGCTCTGCCCGCTTCGGGCGGGGAGACATCCAGGCTCCCAGAAGCCACAGTGGCTGTTCTTAGTGCTGCGTGTGGGCTTGATCAACTCCGCCCCGAGGCCCAGCTGCCTGCAAGCCCCTCCCCTTGGCTAGGTGGCTTACTGGGAAGAATGGCAGGTGTACTCTATGCCTCCCTCGGTTTCCTTCTCTGAACACTTTCTTCCAAAGAGCATTCTTAGAGGCTCACTCTGGTCCTCTGCCAGGTGGCGGGGAGTGCACCATTCGCCATGTGAAAGGAAGGAAGCCAACTTTAGGAAGTGTGGGCAGGATGAGGAAGTGTGGGCAGGATGAGGAAGTGTGGGCAGGGTGAGGAAGTGTGGGCAGGGTGAGGAAGTGTGGGCAGGGTGAGGAAGTGTGGGCTGGGCCTGCCTCTCCTTCCTGGGCTGCGTGCTCACCTTTACTCACTCATACGTCTGCACGGCCGGCCCGAGGCTGCCGTGGGGAAGAACCCCTCATCTGGAGGTGCCGGCGTGGCTCTAAGTGCTGCGGACCCTGGCTGTGGCTCCGTGTG